AAATTCAAGTATAACACTGGAAACAAGGACACAAACCATCCCTAAAGCAGCTTAAAGACCATAGGTAATGCAATCACTATGTGAAGAGGAAAAGGAGATTACTAACAGACTTTCTTCAAAAGAAAAGAGAGGAATATAAATTTCTCGTACAAAGGGGGTTAGTATGATTGGTTTCAATTAAAATGTAGTAGTAAAGAATCTGGGAATTTTCCTTGATGTCCTTTGGGTAGCTCTAATGTACATTCTGCAAGCTAAAGCTAAAAGAAAATAATTTTTAAAAAAAGGCTAATATGGTGGGCTTCATCAACTTGTAGTGGACAGTGGAATGAAAAACAGAAATTTTTAGTCTGATTTTTTCTTAAAAATGCCCTCCTGGTTGGGTGGGTGAGGCCAGGGGAACATGGACTGTTCAAAAGGGCATGGTACAACATTACCTGAATATTCTGGAATGTTGGAGCCTCCAGTGACTAGAGTGCATCTGGCAAGGGATACAGATTTCCAAACCCTTGCTGCTTCTTCTTCTCCTTCTCCCACTTCCTCTCCCCCTCTTCCCCTCCTCCTCCCCCTCCTTCTTCTGAGCTTGCTCTCATTTAATAAGGACTGTTTTAACTCATTCAAATACATGAAATGTTGGCACAAAACTGCAGTTGTTACAGAAAGATCACAGATGTCCTGTGGGTTATTGAAACTTCCATGTCTCTAAAACCATACCCTTAAATGGTCTACATTTTATAAATTTAAGGGTTAGGAAAATGTCTAAATAATAAGTAACAATTAAAATAAAATATATATTTGTAAATTGTATACAGAATACATTTTTCTTTATGACAAGGAAATGGGAAAAGAAGCTACCACCTTCCAAGCAATGCTGCTCACTTTCCCTGTTGGAGATGACCACCATTCTCTGAATCAGATGTGCAAGCCAGATTGCATTTCCTAAATTGGGAAGGGACAATTTGTAGCTAAACAAAAAGTGCTGTTGTATTATTACTAGTTCCATTGTTTTCACAAAATATTTTTGAACCCTGCTAACTCAGTATCTTAGAAATTTCCTGGTATAGCCCTGGCCAGTTTGGCTCAGCAGTTAGAGCTTCATCCAGTACGCCAAAGAGTCACGGGTTTGATTCTTTGCTGCTGTTTGGTCCCTGGCTCTGGTTAGGATTGTACATGTGTCTCTCCCAATCTGAAGATAAATGGAAAAATATTCTTGGGTAAGGATTAAAAAAAAAAAGAAAAATTTTCTTGGTATAATTTTATAATCAACAAAAGCTGAACTATCAAGAACAAGTTTACACATATATCTCAAAGAAACTGTGAAATGGCTCCATAACTATACATAATCTGAAATGTTAGTGTTTCTTTTTTATCCCTTTTAGTTATTTTGATTAGTCTAACAGTAGAAAGCCATGCAACTATCGAAAATGCTATTCATCTCAATGTCATCAAAGTGCGTCTTTGATAACTACCAAAATTAATGAGATCTACGTATTGTAAAATTATCAAACAGATAAAACAAATTCATTTATTTATCCAGCTATATGTTAGGCAGGCATGGAGTCATTTGGTTTCCTAAGCCAGTTCATTTGGTTTCTGTGAACAGAAAACATCCCCATGAATGTCCATGCTCTCTAATGAAACAATGATTCATCTTTTGATGGTTGTTTTCAACATTGTCATGCTTGAGAGGTTACGTGCATCTTGAGAACAGCCTTTTAAAACTAGGTCTTGCATTTGAAGTGGTTAATTTGCTTTTAGGAGTCAGATGATATTTACCTGACATTTTGAACTTTTAGCTTTTCACATTTTTTAGAACTATTATTTGCCTTTAAAAAAACAAAACAAAAGTAGAAAAGAAGGCTATTGGAGCAGCTCTACCTAGATTTAGTAGCTCCTTGAAATTGTAGAATCACTCAAATGCAAACATGGATAAAGTATTGCCTCATGTGTTACAGTTTTCTAGTTCCTTATGTTTCCAAACAACCTAACCTCATCCTCAGTTCTGCGGACTGAAAGATAATGGTCTGTCACACAACTCACCTTAACTGGGTTTTGTTCTCCAAACTACATTTTTTTCTCCTTCTATAACCCTAGGTATTATAGAAGCAGACATGTACATGATACAACTAACCTCATGTAGTTTTTATATTTGTACTTCCTTTTCTCAGAGAAATTGCTGGACCAGGTTCAGCACTACAGTGAGGTATAAGAGGTTAAGTTATACAAGTACTGGATCAAATCTTTATTTAAAATTTTGATATTTTGTTCATCATGGATTTTTTGCATAAATTTTGATTTGTAAAATAAATATTACATTAAAATAGTATTTATCTTTATTTCTGAGGTTTGGGGAACTCCCTGAAATCTCTTGTGTTTCAGATACACTGGATCCTTCTCCTTTGTGCAAATTATTTGCATATTAACATGGCTGGCTGCTTGAGTCATTAGAACTTTCAAGTTAGAAAATATATATTTCAAAGAGAAAAATAAATATTCATTATTTTACCAAAACCAAGAAACAAAAATTACCTTAAATCCTATCAGATCATAGTTTAAGTATTTACATTTACAACTGAGATCGGATCGGGATATGCATGAAGCCAGTCCATGAGAATAAAGCTGGGAAATCAAAAGGGAAAATGGACAAGCACCCAGGAGCAATAATTTTAGCTACTTTATTACATTATCTTGGTATGACTGTTCTTGTTCTATCTCAGGCTGGGAGCCTTATCTCCAAATGACACTGTGGTCATGTAGTTTTCAAACTATCCCCTGGCAGCAGGGGAGGAGAGGAGGACGAGGAGAGTAGGGAGGGCCTCAGAACCTGAAGTTGTGTTAGCCAGAGCGATTTTGCTGTGTCCATCGTGTGCATTGGCCATCTGATAAAGAGTCATTTTGAAAAAAAAAAAGTCCTCCCCTAAAAAAAGATAAATGCAAAAATGTCCTGGGGTGAGGATTAAAAAACAAAAAATAAATAAAAAACAAGAACCCACACATTTAATCATGGAGAGGTATAACAATTATAGGGGTTTTTAAACATGCATTTTAAAGACATAAATAACAGTCTTTAGTTTTATCTAATTGACTTGAAACTGGATTCCTCTTTGCTGTTTCTACTAGATCTTTGACAAGAGTTGTATGCAAGTGTGAAAAAATTAGAACTATAAAAGTATGTTTTCTTAATCTTGTTTTTTAGGGGTGCATATTTGCATTATGTTACATAAACTTTGAAGTTTATAAAATTTTATTTTTATTACTACTTCTTTTGTGATTTTTTTAAAATTAATTTTTCTCTTCCTCTTCTTAGTTCCTTATATTCAGCCTGAACAAATAGGACTCATTTGAAGGAAAACAGTCCCAGATACAGAGTGAGAGGAACAGCAAAAACCATATGGGAAACTGGATAGAAATGAGGTTAAAAGTATCTGGTTTTGATTTAAAATTTTCCCAAAATAATAGAGTGTGCATTCAGGCAGGCCTAAGTCTAAAAGACACCTTGAAACTCAAATAGATATTTATTGCATTTCTCCCACCATGTGCAAAACATTGTGCAAGATGAATGAGTCACAGTTCATATCCTCAAAAGGTTAAAAAAAAAACCCAAAAAACAAAAAAATGAGGTGCGGAAGAGAAGGCAGGCAGTAATCAAAAATTTATAATGTGAGTGATAAGTTCAACAATAGAGGTACATCAGAGTGTTTTAGATCCCAGAGGAGGGAACCTACCTAGCCCATGGGGGCAGAGAAGGCTTCTGGGAAAGGGATGTCCAAGTTAACCCTGAATGGATGAATAGGTGTTAGCCAGGAGATGATGAGGGGCATGAGGGTAAAGAACTTCAGCCACAGGAGCAATATGAACAAGACACACAGGTGCCATTGCAGGGCGTGCCTGCAGAGCTCTAGGATTAGTGCAGGTCAGACAGGGGTGAGAATGAAGGGGAGGTAGATAGGAGTAGGGGGGTGACTCCTGGAGTGTATCATGTATTCTGTGAAGGGGCTTGGAATTGATCCTGTAGGTGATGGGGAGGCTGTGAAGGATTAATCATAGAATGACCATGAGTAAATTTACTTTGAAATAATTCTGCCTGCAATCTGTGTTAACAATGGATTTATAGGAAGCAAGAATGAGTATAAGAACATCATTTTTGATGTTGTTCAGTAGTTCAGGAAGAATGAATGGCAGGCTCAACTAGGGCAGTGGGAGTGTGGTGGAGGGAATTTGCAAAGCGCCCTATTTCCCTGAGTACCTAATAGGAACACTGCCTGTTCCTACGCCTAGTATTTTTAATCTTCCTTGTGTCAGGTGCTAAGCTCTGAGACACAAGGTCCATTCTGGGAACAGGAATTATACCGGTGTAGTTTATTTTTGGGTTCTAGGAGCATGATGGTTGGATTTTTTCCACGTGGTGGGGGTTGGTTCTGGGAATATTGGTACAATGCCTCAGGGCATTTAAAGAAGATGCAAAAGACGAAGACATATTCTACAGTCATATCCCAGAAGTGTGATATGTTTTTACAAACTCCCAAAGGTGTAGTCATATCAAATATTTTCTTTTTTCTATAGTTCTAGCATCACAAAATTTTATTTTCAATAAACAAAATATCTATTGAGCCTAGTACTTTTTAGGGTCATTTTTCAATGTCTACAGATATTTGCTGTAATGGTCAGTCATTTTGGGGGGATGATTTTCTCAACTTGACGTTAATTCCTAAAAGCATTAATGAAGTAATTATCCACCGCATTTTGTAGCTGATAATTTATAAGGCTGCTTGAAATGAAGCCTTTTTGATTTTTAATAGAAAATTTTAGTGTAGAATTGGCTGCTTGTCCCAAGAAAATCAGGCAAGTCACGGTGTTTACCAGTTTTAATTCAATAAAAAACAAACAAACAAACAAAAACAGACAAAATGCGTAAAGTTTGGTAATATAACTAGATTTTTACTTTTTCTGATTCTTCATAAATATATATTTTTATTTTGTAGGAAAGAAAGTTTATCAGAATTTCTTCCTAAACCTGTCTTAGAAAGAACAATTTAATCAGCGATTTGTAAGTATCCTTTTCTTTTTTATTGGGAACTTAAATATTGATTTTGTGGAAGAAGTAGTTCCTTCAGTAAAACATTTGACAAGATATAGCTATTCAATCTGAGCTGGCATGCAAAATTTGAATGAGAAAACACACACACACACACACACACACACACACACACACCCCACACACCTTAAAATGCAAAACAAAGAAGTCAAACCTCAATTGTAAAACCTTCCCAAATCGATCTACAGCTAGTAAAGGTTTGATTTATATTTTGGCAATTACTCTTCTTGATGTCATTTTCTTTACTGCTTACTCTTTGTGAAAATATCTTTGTGTCCACATATTTTAGAAAGTCTGTAACATCAATGAGAAGGAAGAGGAAAGGGTAGGGTGTGAACACAGGAAAGGGAAGAATACGTATTCTGCTAAAAGTTATATGGCTTTGGGCAACTTTTTACTTTCCATGAACACTTTTAGTGAATTTTTTATAATTAAAGCTTAGTCTCATAATAACTAAGGTCCATTCAGTTTTGTCATATTTGTGAAATGCCAGTTATTTAGATAAACACCCAAATGGTCAACTCAGTTTGTCCTAAAAATGTATTTATAGTAAGAGCATTTCATATTTTATTCCTTGAAAGATGTTTCAAGTCTAATGTAGTCCCATCCTGGCACTAAATCAGAGTCAGCATATTGAGTTGAAGAGCTTAGAGCCCAAGGCCCATGCTGTAAAGACAGATTAGAGAAGCAGAGTTAGGTAATGAAGGTCTGAAACTGGGTAGGTTCCTCACTAGGTGTGTAACACCTTGGACAGTTCTGGGCTTCTCAACTGTAATAAATAGTTGTGTTTGAATGTTGTTGAATGGAAATGATGATTACCTTAGATGATCTTATGGTTCCAGGAAGTCCCTAAAACATTGTTGCTTGGTAGTTAATAGTTATTTTATCTTGTTTAATATGGGATTATTATAAATATTATAGCATTCATATTTGTACAGTACTTAATAAAACCAATCAACAGGAACTGAGACAGAATTCTAACATGCTTCATCAGATAAGATCTCAGAAAATTGTTTTTTTTGGAAGGTATACTGAACTCTTAATTATGCATTCTTTAGCAATATTGGCTGTTTCTTAGCTATGTGGCATTAGTTTTCTGTTCCAATGTATCTGTGAATCTTGTGATTTTGGGTAAGTTACCTGAATTCTTTAATGCTTCAGTTTGTCAGTAAAATGAGGGTAAAAATGCCTGTTTTGCCAGGCATTTTGTTACTGTGTTAACAGGCTTGTTATGGGGATTAAATAAAATGATGAAACAATACAATCTAAATAATAATATAATAAAACTATGCTACAATCATATTTTTTTCTCTTTACTATATTGTTTCATAGATTTAAAGTTTTGTTCATGTAATGATCTTACTTTGTCAGCATACATAAGCTATTTAATGGATAATGTTGGTGTTTATTAAATCATTGAAAGAACTGTTAAAATTCAGATTGTTGGCCACATTCCCAGATATTTTAAACAAGCATCTTAGATAATTCACATAAAAGTGATCTACAGGCTACCCATTGAGATACATTAATTTTTCTTTAAAATGATCCCCCAATTGCTGTTGATTATCAAAATCATATGGGCACTTTGTAAAGTATATATATATTCCTATGGCTTCTCCTTGAAGATTCTGATTTGGCAGGCTTTGGAACTTGTGTTTTCAGAAAGTTGCCAGGCTGATTCTGATATTTGCAAACCACTGCTTTACAGTGTCATCATACCTTTAACATTTTATTGATAAAACCTTGTGTTTACCATATGTGGATGAGGGGAAATCATTATGGGTACGTGTTTCAGCTAGTCCAGATCAAGTTTACAGGAGTGGGAAGAATGACTTTGAATGTCTGCATTTGCATGCACAAACCAGACTGACAGTCTGCTCCCCCTTGGTTGTATCACAGCTTTATGGAAGTCCAAGTGCCAAGACCGTAAATTGCAGAATTCCTGAATAAGAAAAGACTCTCAGAGACCATCACTTTCAAACCTCTTCCTTTACAGAGGAGGAAAGAGGGCTCAGAGATTTGCCCAAGACCACAGGGCAAGACCTAGACTTACACTTGGATGTCTGCCCCTAGATCAGTTCCATTCCCATTACAATTCCTTGGCTCTGATTCTGTCATTTCAAGAACCTGAAACACTTGTGAAACCAGTTTTTCCGGTGCTGGTTGTAGTCTTCAAGGCAGGCACAAAGCTTTCCTACCTAATTGTCCAGCTCTCTAAATGTGAGAGCTTTTTTTTTTCCAACTCTAGTTTTCTGCCATAAATAAAAAGAGGCAGGCAGCCCTGGCTGGTTTGGCTCAGGGTTAGAGTGGACCAAAGGGCCGCAGGCTCGATTTTTGGTCAAGGGCATGTACCTGGGTTGCAGGTCTGACCCCAGGCCTGGTCAGGATTATGTGGGAGGAAACCAATCGATGTGCCTCTCTCACATCAATGTTTCTCTCTCTCTCTCTCCCTCCCTACCTCCCTTCACTCTATCTAAAAAAAAAAATCAATGGAAAAATATCCTAGGGTGAGGATTAACAACAACAACAACAACAACAAAGCAGTCCACTGAGGGCACGAAGGTACTTATGAGCATAGGCAGCCTGTTGCAGAAGTGGCACCATCTTCTCTGCAACCTTCATTTCTTAAAAAAATTTTTTAAATATATTTTTATTGATTTTTTTTCAGAGAGAGAAATATCGATGTGAGAGAGAAACATTGATCAGCTGCCTCTTACCTGCCCCCACTGGGGATTGGGCCCACAACCTGGACATGTGCCCTGACCTAGAATCAAACTGGGATGGCTCAGTCAATGGGATGATGTTCAATCCACTGAGCCACACTGGCTGAGCTTGACTCTTTTTCTTAGCTAGAGCTGTCCTTGCCTTTTCTCAAACTCCCTGACTCTTGATGACAGCGCCCTCATTATTTTAATTTGTCTTCTTATTCTTGCATAATTTTTTTCATGGTGTCCCTTATATCACTTAACTTGCCGTTATTTGGACACTATTCATCTCTGAGCACCGTTAAATTCAACAAATATTAAGTACTATTTCATTCCAAGAATGGTCTTGGGTACCAGAGATGTGAAATGAACCCAGCGTGGTTCTAGTTTCAGAAGAGGTCACAGTAACATGGTGAGGGAGACTGGTATGGAAAATACTGTAAGAGCACTTGATCCCATAGGAGACTTGAGCCACTTTTTAGAGGAGTCAAACAAGGCTCTGGCAAGGAGGTGACAGTGGTCTGTTTTGGGTTCCAAAGTCAAAACCCACAGTGTAAAAGTGTAACATGTTGAAACCACACGAAGAACATGTTTCCAAAGCTTAATGAAGAGAACTGATGTGGTTGAGATTTTCTAAGGCAGGTGTCAGCATGATGGAGAGAAAGCCACACTGCAACACGTGCCAGGAGACCTGGGTCTTCTTTCTCCTCAGGCTGCCACCCCCAATCTATATGACTGTCAGCAATCCAGTCAGACTCTCCAGGCCTCATTCGGCTACTTGTTCAATTTATTCAAATAACGAAATTCTTATTATAGGCTGTCCTATATGCCAGGACACAGTCAGGCGGAGGAATGGTGTCTCCCAGACAAAGTGCTGTCTGGACTGAGGCCTCAATTTTGAGTAGTTGTCAACCTGGTGAAGAGAAACTTTGGAAGGAGAGCACTCCAGCCAGGAGGAGCTGCATCCATACATTGGCCAGAACATGAAGGTGAATAGGCAGCAGTTTCTTTCAACTGCTGGATCAGAGGGCGGTGAAGGAGGTGAACCTGGGAGTAGGCAGAGTGTAGGTTATGTAGAGTGTTTTGAGGCTAATGAACTGGGTGACGTTTTTCTGGCATAGGAGAGCGAACAAAAACCTAAATAGTGAGATTTGCTTGGCAATGTAAAAAAAAAATAGACTAGAGGACAACAAGTCTGAGGCAGGATAATCAGTGAAGAGGATAATCTAAAGTAGAGAGGTTGACAACTTTAACTAGGATAATAAAAGAGGATGAGCAGAGCAGCTGGTCCATCAGTTGAAGAGCTATGTAGAAAATAAAGTGTATACAACTTCATGACTATGAGGAATGAGGGAGAAGGATGCCTCCTGAACTTCTACCTTGTGCATCTGGTTGGATTATAGTGCTGTACACTGAGAAAGAAAACCCAGGAGGAGAAAAAGATTTCAAAAGGAAGATGAAGATCTCTAACATGAGTGCATGAGACTAGCTGATCTCTCCTGGGGTTGTTCAATATTAACTGACCTTCCACATGCTGAGAATATCACACATGCTGTCATATTAATCTTCTCAACTGCAGGAGGTATTATGTGCCCTTAAAAGATGTGGAAGCTGAGGCTCTGAGAGCTTAATACCTAAGGTTTCTTAGCTAATAAGTAGTGGAGCCAAAGTTCAGATCAGTGTGCTAAGCCAGGTGCATTTTCTTCTGCAACACCCATACCTTGTATTATATCACTTAGCCTTCCTTTGGACTCTGACACATATAATTCTGTGCAAATAGGTCACTTGTAGAACACAAGCAACCTTAGACTTTATGGGGTGTTAAAATGAAGGCATGAACTCTACCTTCTAATTTATCATTCTTTCTTACTTGGAATACTACAATTGCCTCCAAATTCATCTCTTGAATCCACTCTTCTTATTTTCCAAATCTATCCCATTAGTTGCAGCCAAAGTGATCTTTTTAAAGTTCAGTTTTGATCATCATGCCATAGCTTTAAAACCTGCAGTGTCTTCCAATTGCTATTAGTATAGACCAACTCCTTACCATGCCTTAGTGATGTGGCTCCTGCTAACTGGTCTACTTCCTTCAGTTACTGAAATGTCTTGTACTCTTTTCCTTTCTCTATACTAGCTAACATCTATTCTTCCCTTCTATCTCAGCTTCTTCTGTCAATGAGTCAGGTTCTGATACACAACACTTTGTAATTTCTCATCTTAGACTTACCACAGTTTGTATTTATACAT